ACATTTCATACATTAAGTTTTTTTTGTCCTAGTCTGGTACCTAAAGTTATAATTCTAGAACACTTTCATACATCTGTTAAGTTGTCTGTTAAAACAGCCGTTAACTTGTGACTTGGTGCCCACATGGACAATGATGGGCGCCACGTGTCAATATGGGTCTACATGGATATTAAAATTTTGAAAAATGAATAAATTAGAAAAAAAAATCGAAAAATTAAAAAAAAAATTAATCAAATTAACAAAATGACCATGAGAAATTTTATTCAGACCCATTTATCCTCTTTTTACACCTAACTTATCATGTTTTCTCTTAAAATTTCAAATATGTCCAACAATTCTCTTTTTAAACCCAAAATAAAAAAGAACAAAAAATAAAATAAAATAAAATTCCAGCATTAGAAAACTCCGGTCACCCAATCTCTCCACATCCCTACCAACCTCAATTTCTAGCCCTCCCCAACGCCCACCGCCACCTTCCCTACACCCACAATAAAAACCCCAAAGATCTCAACCATCATGACCCTTTTCCTAATCTTTCACACAATCCTTCTAACAGTCTGAATTCTTTGAAACAGTTGACTATTCGAATCTAACTCTGACTAGAGGTCGGATTGGAAGTTGAAAACTGTAAGTTCAAAACTTCAAATCATGTGGTAATCTTAAAACAGGTTTACGTTACAACTCATTCACAATAGGGAAAATTATAACCATCATTGAACATGATTTGATAAGAAAAAAGATTAATCAACTAATCCCAATAAAACCCTAAAATAGTTTGCATTAATAGCTGGATTTAGTTTGCATTAGAAAATGGAGTTCAAACACTTGAGGTGGGAGTTTTTTGCTAACGGTTTTTGTGACAGCCCGTTCCGGAATTTTTTTAAACGTACGAGTGAAAAGACGATTTTGCCCTTAGTGTGATTTTTACGTTGTATGGTTGTTTTGAGCTTGGTGTGGCTGGTTGTGGACCACACACACTTCCCCATACATTTTCTTCACCCTTTCCCTGCCCTGCTACCTATCCCGTGCCATTTCCCTTCCCATTTTCCATCCAAACGTACAGACTCACCCCAAAACCCATCAAATCTTCACAAATCGAAGAAACATAGTACATATCCATGCTCGTGAGGTCCGTAGGAGTCCAACCATACCCATTTCAGGTAAGGATACCTTTGTCTTCACGTCGAACTCGGGATACCCCGATTTTGTCACTGTTCATGCACACGTAAATTCTTATGTTTTTGGGAATTTCAAGCTTGTAGGAAGCTTGGTGAGGTCCTTAGGAGGCTCGGGGTGGTTCGTTTGAAGATTTTGGACGTCGGAATCGTGAGTTTCGAGGTTGGCCGGAGTTGGGGGTGTTTTCTCGGCAAGATTTTGTGGATTTTAGCACTTGAAAGTGGTATGAACTTGTTTCTCTCGTTGTAAGCTTCAATTTGGTACCAATTTTGTGAAATTTGGTTGAAAAACGAAGAAGATAGGACGATTTGAAAATTTCCTGATTTTCTGGCACCGGCGACGGCGCCGGAGCCTCGCTGGAGAAAACGACGAAATATTCCGTCAAAACTAACATAATCCGTTAACGTTAACGGAATATTCCTGACGGCGTTAACTGACGCCGTCAGCGTGCCAGGCACGTGCTTGCGCGTGGCCGGCGTGTAGGGGCGCGTGCGACGGTGAAAATTTTTTCTAAAAATATGGGGATGTTCCTGAGGTTGAGTAGATCACGTTGGTGTATTCATACACCCAATTTGAGCATTGTATGAGAAGTTATTTCATAAAGTTGGTTATGTGCTTTAAAAATTAACGTTTTTGTAGTTGTTTCGCATATAGGTGAGACGTACCCCGAGGACAAGCGTGGTCACTCGAGGCAGGAGGGTTACGACCCTTCTACATACCAGTGAGTGGGCTTTTGGTTTTCTGTATATACCTATATACTCATGTTTTTCCCAGAAATTGATTTGAAATGTTTATTCGTCCATATGCCATTTTATTGTTTGCCATCATTTACGCATTACTAGTTGCATATATATATATATATATATATATATATATATGTTTAGCACTGCGGACGCATAGGTGTGTGCCAGGTGAGTATGATTTACATTTACGTTCAGTAGTGATTCTAGATACATAGAGAGCTCATAACCTGCACCCCCGATGTTAGTGCTCCCGCCCAGAGCAGGGCACAGTCTTTCACGTGATGTTCACCTCCCGCACTACACGCTCATCTTGGATCCAAGTTAGGTGCACAGTCTTGTCGTACAGACCACTTTAGGTGGTTCCGACTCGTAGGTGACCCGCGATTATTCGCCCAACCTTCATGTGATCGTAGCACTTGAGCGTACTTATATTACACCCAGGCCTGTCGTACAGACCACTTTAGGTGGTTCCGACTCGTGTGTAGGTATAGTTAGTGAGATGGAGATTTGAGCTCTAGATTCAGCCGTACAGGTCACGTTAGGTGACTCCGGCTGACAGATTTCAGGGCATTTGATTTGGCATTTTCCTAAGCACTGGCATATATTCGAGGCATTTGGCATGGCACATTTTCCGAGCATGATTATATATATATATATATATATATATATGTATATTATGTTTCTGGGAAGTATACAGGTTTTACAGCGAGGGGTTAGAACTTGTTTTGAAATGGTTTTTGAAAAGTTTTGTTTTTGCCCACTCACGCTTTTGTTTTGCGCCCCTCCAAGTTCTAGTTGGCTAGCACGTTTGGTGGCTTCCCCGAGGTCTTCCCGGCATATCTGATAGACTGACACCAGTGTAGGACCACCTTCGGGTGTACTTTGTTGTGTCGTTTTCTCCCGGACTGCATTAGGTTTTCATGCTCTGAACGTTGTTTTTACACTTTGCTTGCACATGTATGTTACTACCTTGTGTTAAGCAGGATTTTATTTATTCGTATTATTTCTATTATTATTTTATTTGCTTCCGCACTGTGCACATGGCTTCGTCATTTCCATGTGACGGCCAGCATGCCCTGATCTCGTTTCGGGGTGTGTCAGTTTTGCTTCCAACGATTATGCATTTGCCCGCAAGTTGTTAGGTATCAATACCAATGCAAATAAATGGTCTACGCTGGAGCAAATCTCAGTCATGACTCATTCTACCTTTTGTCTAACTATCTAATTCTTGAAAGACAAGTTAGAATGAGTCATGACTGAGATCTTTGGGGTTTTCATTGTGGGTGGTAGGGGAGGTGGCGGTGGGTTTGGGAAGGGTAGAAAATTAGAAATTGGGGGTGGTTGGTGTATGGAGAGATAAGGTGGCCAAAATTTCCTAGTGTTGGAATTTATTTTTTACTTTTTTATTTTGGGTGTAAAAAGAGAATTGTTGGACAGATTTGAAATTTCAAGATAAAAAATGATAAGTTGGGTTTAGAAATAAGATAAATGGGTCTGGATAAAATTTCCTAATGACCATTGTGATGCAAAGAGGCACCAAACCCTCACTTCATTCCTCCTCCCTTACTGTCCCTCTCTTCCTTCCTTCTCTCTATTCGACTGCCACCAAACTCTCTACTTCTTCTGCCCTCTTCAAATCGAGCCTCTCGTCAAAACCCATAAGCCCAATTTTTGGCATTCGACTCGGTTTACGCCCTTTATAATGTGGGTTTGCCGTGGAGGAGTCGACGGAAGCTATCTCATCGTACAATGTTGAATCTGAAGACCTTGTAGACTTGGGACTTGGCTGAAAACCATGGCAGGGCGTGACGATGAAGCCTATAATCGCGTTTATCGCCATGAGAGCTATCCTTTGGTTCATCCCTACTTCAAGGGTTAGAGGTTTGATCCCAGCCCAACCTCGTTGCTCCCACCCCACTTTTTCACCAACCCAAGGCCAAATTCAAGCACGGCAGCGGTGTTGTCGAGGTGGGTATTTCTTGTGGATCGTTCCACTCATCGTTGTTGGCGTGGATGGTCAGCTTTAGATTTGGGGTAAAGGTGACGATGGTCGACTTGGTTTATGGCATGATAATTCTCTATTTTTTTATTTTAAATTTTTCAATATCCACGTGGACCTTATATTGACGCGTGGCACTCCATGTCACAAGTTATTGGCTGTTTTAATAGACAGCTTAACAAAAGTATGAAAATGTTCTAAAATTAATACTTTAGGTACCAGATTAGGACGAAAAAAACTTAATGTATGCAATTTTGAAAACTACGAAACTTCATGATAGTAAATGAAATTTACGCATTAAAACATCTCCAAAGGAGACGTTAGATTCAAAACATCAAATTTCAATTTGACGATTGACTTAGCAATTTAACATATTATCAATATTTTCCTTCCACTTGATATGTCAAAATTCATTGCTTCAATTATGGTTTTGTTAAACAAAAATAATAAAAGTTGGGTTATTGTTAGTTTAAAAATAATAAAATAATACCTAAATAGCAAAAAACCATATTTTAAAAGAGCTTCAAATTTAACATCTCTTTATCAATGTCAGCTTTTGACATCTCGATTTAGTAAATGGTTCATCATTTGTTGGCATTTTTTACGTTTTCTCTGGAGATAGTCTTGTATAATAGATAATGCTAGGGTCGATCAAATTTTTTAACTAAAATTATAAACCAAATAATATGTTGCCAATAAGAAATAAACACGTTAATCAAACTTAATCAAACTTAATCAATAATTCAATTATGGACAATCACATCATTTAATTTTACAAACAAATCGCTTAGCATCACCTATCATATAATAATTTTTTCGAACCGAAGCAAGTCCAAACAAAAATTTATTATATTGAACTGAATATCGAAAGCTCCCGCAGACGAGCATTGACGAAGGGAGTACTTAATTCCCAAATGTTCCGAAATACCAAAAACACCCATCGATTTCGACGGGTCTTCACCGCAGTTGTTCCCCAGGTGCTCAAGGCCATTTCCGTGATTTAAAATCCCACCATTGTAGCTCCCCCTTCCATGACAAAACGCGATCCAAATCTCAACCCGTCCGCACTTCCTCTCTGAAGCTCTCTATGCCACTGACTCAACCCGCTCACCGAGTCACGAACCGTCCCCGCCCGGCACCGCAGTCCACCGTCGCAAGACGCTAGCCATTTCTCCAGATCCGGCTCACTGAGTCACACTCGCAGCAAGCTCGGGAATGGCTTCTTCGGAAGCCGATTCCCGTCTGAGGCAGGTGGTGTCCCCAGCCCTCGATAAGATCATCAAGAACGCCTCGTGGCGGAAGCACGCCAAGCTCGCCAGCGAATGCAAAGCCGTGCTCGAGCGGCTCAGCAAGTCTAAACCCGACCCGAATTCCGACTCTGACAACTCCGGCCCGGGACCTCTCCACGACGGAGGCTCCGAAGAGTACTCGCTCGCCGACTCCGAGTCCATTCTCAGCCCCGTAATCAACGCCGCCGGCTCCGGCGTATTGAAGATCGCCGATCCGGCCGTCGATTGCATCCAGAAGCTAATCGCCCATGGATATTTGCGCGGCGAGGCTGACGCATCCGGGGGTGCCGCGGAAGCGAAGTTGCTCACGAAATTGATCGAGTCTGTGTGCAAATGCCACGATTTGGGGGACGATCAGATGGAGCTGCTGGTGTTGAAGACCCTGTTATCGGCAGTGACGTCGATATCGCTGCGAATTCACGGAGATTGCTTGCTGCAGATAGTGAGGACTTGCTACGACATCTATTTGGGGAGTAAGAATGTCGTTAATCAGACGACGGCGAAGGCGTCGCTGATCCAGATGCTGGTGATTGTGTTCAGAAGAATGGAGGCTGACTCGTCGACGGTTCCTATTCACCCGATCGTGGTGGCTGAGCTGATGGATCCGATTGAGAAAGCCGACGCCGACGGCTCAATGACAATGTTCGTTCAGGGGTTTATCACCAAGATTATGTCCGACATTGATGGAGTTTTGAACCCTTCGACACCTACTAAGGTGTCACTGCGAGGGCACGACGGGGCCTTCGAGACCACCACAGTGGAGACCACGAACCCTGCCGATTTGCTGGATTCGACTGATAAGGACATGTTGGATGCCAAGTACTGGGAGATTAGCATGTACAAGACGGCATTGGAGGGCCGAAAAGGCGAATTGGCTGACGGAGAAGTGGAGAGAGATGAGGATTTGGAGGTTCGGATTGGGAATAAGTTGAGAAGAGATGCGTTTTTGGTGTTTAGAGCTCTGTGTAAGCTGTCTATGAAGACTCCGCCAAAAGAGGCATTAGCGGATCCGGAGTTGATGAAGGGAAAAATTGTTGCATTGGAGCTTTTGAAGATTTTGTTAGAGAATGCCGGTGCCGTCTTTAGGACCAGTGAAAGGTGACTCACTGCCTGCTCTCATGTTAAAAATGTTTATTCTTAGATGTTGCCATTTCGTGTTCAGTGTTATTAGTCTTGATTATGTGTTCGGATTGAGCTGATTAGTCATTGCATTCAGCTTACTTGCTCGAGATTCGGCCTTTAACTTTGTTATGTTTGTCGAGTACGTTGTTTATATTTGTATATTTGAGATTGTGTGGAAAGAGGGTTTATAGATAACAGAGATGGTTCAAAGAGGATTTTGTTTCATTATTTAAATGATGGTTGGCATGATAATACAACACTAGGTGAGGTCTGAGCGGAGTAGGAGAATCACTAATATGTCAATTTGTAGTTGCCTAGCTGGTAAAGGCTGGTGGATAGATATGGTGGCTTCTTAGTTGATACTTCTTAGTTGTGGCCCTTGTGGGACTCTAGTTTTACCTCTTCCATACGATCATGAGCCATGGTAATGCTGGAAATTCATGCTATTGTGAGTGTCTGGTAGCTCTTGATCAATTAATTGGTTTACATATTTGAGGACTTTGCTGGGATCTGAAGCACGATTCAGTTTGGGACAAGCATATCTCCAGGCTTGCAGACTCATAATGCAGATATGTCACTCCCTATTCGGAGAAAAACTAACTGATGTGTCTCTTAAGGTATTAGAGTGGATCCCCAGATTAGAAACATCTGTGCAATATGCTACGGGGTTTATCCCTCGATGTTGCTACATTTTAGATCTTGGTTTAGTTTTCTGACAATGCAATAACCGTTGTACATGCTGGTCTTTTGTGGGATTTTGGTTTCTGGTGTGCGCATGTCTGTGCATGAGCACAAGACAGCATCTTAATAATATTCACAAAGTCTTCTCTATTCATTCTTTTATTTTTTGTGTTCATGCACCTCATATCTCTGAATTCAGGGAAAAAAACTTGCGTTCTGTATTATCGTCTTCTAGATATGTTTCAGTTTAGCTAGTTTTTTTCTCCTACCTTGAAATCTCTAATGATGAATTTTGTGTGTGATGTGGAACAGGTTTTTAGGTGCGATTAAGCAATATTTATGTCTATCACTGTTAAAGAACAGTGCTTCAACTCTTATGATAGTTTTTCAGCTATCTTGCTCCATCTTCATTAGTCTGGTGTCAAGATTTAGAGCTGGACTGAAAGCAGAAATTGGAGTATTTTTTCCCATGATTGTTCTCAGAGTTTTGGAAAATGTCGCACAACCCAATTTTCAGCAAAAGATGATAGTACTTCGGTTTCTTGAGAAGCTGTGTGTTGATTCCCAGATCTTGGTAGACATATTTATCAATTATGATTGTGATGTCAGTTCATCGAACATATTTGAAAGGTATGCTATGTTCTTTCCTGTAGAATCCACTATAAATTCTTCAAATTTCAAAACTATTGAACAATAATATTATTATAAAATTCATTAGCAGATGTCCTGCATTGTTTCTACACCCGCATAGGATTGCGAGTGATTGGTGTTGCGTTAACAATTTTTGTGTCTTCTTTCACCTTTTTTCCATTCATGTTGCCAGGATGGTAAATGGCCTACTTAAAACTGCTCAAGGTGTCCCTCCTGGTGTTGCCACCACATTATTACCACCTCAGGAGGCAACTATGAAACTCGAAGCTATGAAGTGCTTAGTTGGTGTTTTGAGGTCAATCGGAGATTGGATGAACAAACAATTGCGCATTCCAGATCCTCATTCTAACAAGAGATTTGAGCCAACTGAGAATAGTCCTGAACCAGGAGGTCTTCCCTTGGCAAATGGGAACAGTGAGGAGCCTGTTGATGGGTCAGACACTCATTCTGAAGCCTCCAGTGAGGCCTCTGATGCTCTGACAATTGAACAACGCCGAGCTTACAAGCTGGAACTTCAGGTAAGGGTCTGGAATTCCATCAGATTCATCTTTAGGCTGTTTCACTTGGAATCTAATGATTGTTTTGTGGCAGGAAGGTATATCTCTTTTTAATCGGAAACCTAAAAAAGGAATTGAGTTTCTTATTAATGCAAACAAGGTGGGTAGTTCACCTGAGGAGATAGCTGCTTTTCTCAAAAATGCATCTGGTTTGAACAAGACTTTGATTGGGGATTACCTTGGAGAAAGAGAAGATTTATCGCTAAAAGTAATGCATGCTTATGTGGATTCCTTTGAATTTCACGGCTTGGAGTTTGATGAGGCCATCAGGGCATTTCTTCAAGGCTTTAGGTTGCCTGGTGAGGCACAGAAGATCGATAGAATAATGGAAAAGTTTGCAGAACGCTATTGCAAGTGTAATTCAAAGGCTTTTACTAGTGCTGACACAGCCTATGTCCTTGCTTATTCCGTGATAATGCTCAACACTGATGCTCATAACCCTATGGTGAAGAACAAGGTGAGTTAACAATTTCACATATACCTTGATTTTATTGGATGACTGAAACAGATAGCTGATTGATGTCCCTCTCTTTCTGGCCATTTAAATTATTCAGATGTCAGCTGATGATTTTATAAGAAACAATCGCGGCATAGATGATGGAAAAGATCTACCTGAGGAGTACTTGAGGTCATTGTTTGAACGAATATCAAGAAATGAGATTAAAATGAAAGAATATGAATTGGCTCCTCAAATACAGTCGGTGAACCCAAACCGGCTTTTGGGCTTGGATAGTATCTTGAATATTGTGATCCGTAAACGGGGGGAAGGAAATCAATTGGAGACCAGTGATGATCTTATCAAGCATATGCAAGAACAATTTAAAGAAAAAGCTCGCAAATCTGAGTAAGGCTAACTGAACTTCTCTGATGTCAAATGTTTGGAATCCTATTTGTCATTCCATTTTTATCACACCATATTTTCTTCAGAGGCCATAAAATATTACTTTCTAGGAGTTCTCTTATTCACTGATGAGGATTGTTATTCCTTGCTCAGCATAGTGGAAGTTTGACTAGACTAAGATATTGTGCATTTATATTTAGGAATTTTGAGAAATTCTTTAATATGTGTGTTATCTTTATATTGATTAGACTCTGTTCTTAATATAAACTTGTACGGACATTTTGTAGGTCAGTTTATTATGCTGCAACAGATGTGATAATTCTTAGATTCATGGTTGAGGTATGCTGGGCCCCTATGCTGGCTGCCTTCAGTGTTCCACTTGATCAAAGTGACGATGAAGTAGTTATTTCACTGTGTCTGGAAGGCTTTCGTCATGCCATTCATGTTACTGCTGTAATGTCCATGAAGACCCATAGAGACGCTTTTGTGACTTCACTAGCAAAGTTTACTTCTCTCCACTCTCCTGCCGATATCAAGCAGAAGAATATTGACGCAATTAAGGTTAGCATATTGTTGTACTCCACCATAGTTTCTGTACAGGATGTGAATAAGCTTAAAGATTGTACTTGTTAGTTGTCCTTAATTTCATGATGCTTTGAAGACTGAAGTAGTCTCATAGAGGAAATCATGTTACTTCACTAATCTTGTCATAGATTTGAACACTTTGGATGTGAAGTTATTTTACTTTAATTTTTCATGCTTAACCCGTCATCATGGCTGAGATATAATGCAGCAGAATAAGTATAAAGGTTTGCATGAAAATAGTATGTTCACTTGAACAATTACGCAAAAATCTCATCATCTAATTTTGTCCGTTTTTATTTTGTATGTCTGCCTTCTTTCCAATAAAATTGATTTCTCAAGTGCAAATGAGATCTTAAGTTGGCAAAAGTATAAAGACTTGAATTACTGGTCTTAACTAGAATGATAATGTGCTGTCCCAAGAATGAATCAGAAAAAGAAATCGAAGACATTTGTAATTTAGAGCTATAACTGCATAATTGGACACTTTGCATGGATGGCAGAAGAGTGTTTAGGAGAAGAGTCTTGCATGTGCTTGTATGGTTATCGGTGAAATAAATATAAACATGGTGAATAATTGATGTTGTGTGAGTTAAAACATCTTTTTCGACTGTGTGCTACTAGGTGGTGACAGTTCGTCATAATGTTACTTATGTACTGTCATGTGACAGGTCTGTCACAGTAGCATGCTCAAATGCTTGCACTTTGAGATGTATCTAATATTTTGTTTGGTCATTTTTATAGGCAATAGTGACAATTGCAGATGAAGATGGAAACTACCTACAAGAAGCTTGGGAACATATTTTGACTTGTGTTTCCCGGTTTGAACATCTACATCTCTTGGGAGAGGGTGCTCCTCCAGATGCTACGTTCTTTGCCTTTCCTCAGAGTGAGTCAGAAAAAACAAAACAGACTAAGTCCACTATCCTTCCTGTTTTAAAAAAGAAGGGGCAAGGAAGGATGCAGTATGCAGCTGCTGCTGTGTTGCGAGGTTCATATGATAGTGCTGGTATTGGTGGGAATGCTTCTGGGGCTGTCACATCAGAACAGATGAACAATTTGGTTTCTAATTTAAACATGCTAGAACAAGTTGGTGAGGTGAGCCGCATATTCACACGGAGTCAGAAACTAAACAGTGAGGCGATTGTGGACTTTGTTAAAGCACTTTGCAAGGTCTCTATGGAAGAATTGCGATCGGCATCTGATCCTCGGGTTTTCAGCCTTACAAAGATTGTTGAGATTGCGTATGGATCGCCTTACTTCAATCTTGTTTATGTTTTTTCTATTAAAAAACTGTAGAGTTTGACCTAAATTGTTTTCTTATAACAGGCATTATAATATGAACCGCATCAGGCTTGTCTGGTCTAGCATCTGGCATGTGCTTTCTAATTTCTTTGTGACAATTGGCTGTTCTGAAAACCTGTCAATCGCCATTTTCGCTATGGATTCTCTTCGCCAGTTGTCAATGAAATTCTTGGACCGAGAAGAGTTGGCTAATTATAATTTTCAGAATGAGTTCATGAAACCTTTTGTCATTGTTATGCGTAAAAGCAGTGCAGTTGAAATACGTGAATTAATCATCAGATGTGTCTCACAAATGGTATTATCTCGTGTCAACAATGTCAAATCTGGATGGAAGAGCATGTTCATGGTACTGGAATGTTCCCAGTCCTTTTTTCTTTGTGATACGCTTAATTCTACAGCCGATAAAAATTAATTTGATTTCATGAATTATTCTTGTTGCATACTGATAATACTCCATTGTTATGTTCTTCAGGTATTCACTACTGCAGCTTATGACGACCACAAAAACATTGTACTCTTGGCCTTTGAAATAATTGAGAAGATTATTCGAGACTATTTTCCGTACATAACTGAGACTGAAACCACTACCTTTACTGATTGCGTGAATTGCCTAATTGCATTTACGAATAGTAGATTCAACAAGGACATTAGCCTCAATGCTATTGCTTTTCTTCAATTCTGTGCTACAAAACTTGCAGATGGAGGTCTTGGTTCCTCATCAAAAAATAAGGACAAGGAAGCTTCTGGAAAAATCTCGCCATCTTCACCTCAAGCCTGGAAAGATGGAAAACAAGAAAATGGTGAAATGCCAGATAAGGATGACCATATCTATTTCTGGTTCCCTTTATTGGCTGGTAAGAATACTTCATAAATTGGTGCCAATAAACATAATGTTGCAAAGCGTTTGTGTTAAAATTTTGAGCTTTTTTATATATCACACTGGGAAAGAGTTTTATATATTTATCTCCACAATGCAGGTTTATCCGAGCTTAGCTTTGACCCTAGGCCTGAAATCAGGAGGAGTGCCCTACAAGTTCTGTTTGAAACTTTACGTAACCATGGTCACCTTTTCTCACTACCTTTGTGGGAAAGGGTGTTTGAATCAGTGCTATTTCCAATATTTGACTATGTGCGGCATGCTATCGATCCATCCGGGGAAGGTTCACCAGGGCAAGGGACTGATGGTGATGTGGGTGATCTTGATCAAGATGCCTGGCTCTATGAGACATGCACATTGGCACTTCAATTAGTTGTTGATCTCTTTGTCAAATTTTATAACACTGTCAATCCGCTATTGAAGAAAGTTTTGGTGCTTCTAGTCAGTTTTATTCGACGACCACACCAAAGCTTAGCTGGTATTGGTATTGCTGCATTTGTGCGATTGATGAGCAATGCAGGGGATCTCTATTCTCATGAAAAGTGGCTAGAAGTGGTTTCATCATTAAAAGAAGCAGCCAATTCAACGCTTCCTGATTTCTCTTTCCTTAGTGGAGATGGCATCATTAGAAGCCATGAACATGCTTTGAGCAGAGAAGAGAATGGAGAGTCCACCGTGTCTGGCAGGAGTGATGAGGATTCAGAGATACTGAGGACAAACCACATGTATGCTGGAATATCTGACGTCAAGTGCCGAGCTGCTGTTCAACTTTTATTGATTCAGGTAATTTCTACTCCATTATGGGTGTTGGGGTAGGTTGGACAAACCATGTTTACGTTGATTATAGGATGCGGCTTGGTATATGTTTGAGTTGGCGTGAACTTTAGTCCTTTTCCTAGGGACCCAATTGAGAAACAACTCAATCTACAGGGACCAAATTTGCATGTTCCCAAATTTGAAGTCGTGGAAGTATATTGCAATAACCATTTCTTTTGAAATTTATTGTTTTGCTATCCAGTTACAGTTTTTGAAAATAGAAAATGCTGGAGCGACAATCAATTTGAAGATAGGGCAAACCTTTGAATGCATGAGTGTGTGATATGTACATGTTATAAATTTCATCATATGACATTTACATGTTATCATGTCAATACGGTTTTGTGAGGTTTGTCTTTCACTATATTTGGCAGGCGGTGATGGAGATTTACACCATGTATCGCTCTCACCTTTCCGCGAGAAACACATTAGTCCTTTTTGATGCTTTGCACGATGTTGCATCTCACGCTCACAAGATTAACACCGATGCCACTTTAAGAGCAAGGTTACAAGAATTTGGTGCCGTGACCCAAATGCAAGACCCTCCACTGTTGCGCATCGAGAATGAATCTTACCAAATATGCCTTACATTCCTACAGAACCTTGTAGAGGATAGCCCAGCAGGTTACAATGAAGTGGAGGTGGAGTCCTGCATCGTGGACCTCTGCAGAGAGGTTTTACAGTTCTATATTGAAGCTGCTAGCTCTGGAAAGGTATCTGAATCATCCAAAGGGCAGCAGCTCCAGTGGCTAATTCCTCTAGGTTCTGGGAGACGAAGAGAATTGGCCCAACGTGCCCCGCTTATAGTGGCAACTCTCCAGACTATCTGTAGTTTGGGAGAGTCCTCATTTGAAAACAACTTGTCTCAGTTCTTCCCCCTCCTTTCCAGCTTGATAAGTTGTGAACACGGTTCGAATGAGGTCCAGATTGCCCTCGGTGACATGCTCAGCTCATCTTTGGGGCCTGTGTTGCTTCGGTCGTGTTGAGCAGGTGAGATAGGACCGCGCAATTTGAGATGTATGATAATTTTATCCTAAGTCTTCGTAGTCTTCATTTTCGTATTCTTTTTTATTCGTTATTGGAAATATAGTTTGATAGTGTTATGAAGAGTTAGTAGCAATGCTTTGAATTTGATTGACTAGTGCTTCTAAACCTTCTGTAGTCTCATATGAGATTATAGCTCCATTTAGAATTTATACATCTCTTCCGGAGTTTTGATGTTGTATGCTAGTCAGTAGTCACATATTTTTATCTTTACATGGGGAGATTTGATTCAATCCGCCTTTCGTTGGAAAAACCAACGCAAATCTCATGTCGACTTTCTCTTGCCCAATTTTTTTTTTTTTTAAAAGTTGTTGTCACACGAGGATTTACATGCAATGGGCTTTACTGTCACTGTGGCGTGTTAATCTAATAATACAGTGGAGTGTGAACCCATTTTATGTGAGTTCTCGTTGTAATGCTTACATTTATGAGCATCTTCTCGTTGATTATAACTTACAAAATTCAGCAGTCCCTTTTCCTTGTGTCGTAAAACCCAATAGAAATGCTTGTTCGCACACAAGAAGACAATGGTGATGGGGAAATATTAGATTTATGATGGATGGACTTGGTAATGTATCTCAAAAAATTATCTTGCCGGCAATGCCATAATTTATTATAGATTTGTATGGAGTAGAGGTTAAGCAATATCTCAGGTGCGAGTTAAACACTCTTAACTACTTGAGTTACGAGTCCCAGGCTCCGCCTGTCATCTGTGTTGTGGAACTCAGATTTGGGGTCACCTTTTCACTTGAGAAAAATAAGAGACAATTTGCAAGAAAACACCAACAAAAAGTGAATTAGAGACCTCAAATTGCGGAGACCACAAGAGAGCCAAGAAACAGAAAGCGGTGAGAGCGAGAGTACGTGATATCATATAAAACTCAGCTGGCATCCACCAAGCACCCCCGGATTAAAAGACTTGGTCCGACTCCCTAGATCTACAGATATACATACATGCATTCACATGGATGAGGATCCTAGAGTTTCTCACATCTCATTCATTCATTGTATATCGTGCGGTCAACTTTTCATTAGGTATTGTTTGTGTTTAATTGTAAATAGAAAAATTCAAAATAATTTCTCACTATCCGATGTATGATGAATGGATAGGATGAGAAGATCACTAGAATCCTCACAAAATGAATACGGATGAGATCAAATCCCATAGGCAGATCTCTCATATATGTGTGTGTGTTTACATACACCTTGGAGAATCCAAGAGCCTAGATATCAGTATTTGTTGGCTTCTAGGGTTTTGTAGTCGTAGAGAAATTGCTAGGCTCACCACTAGTCAAGTAAGTTAATTAGATCAATCTCGACTCGTTGCTAATTAGAACCAAGTGTATTTTTTTTCTCTCTCTCTTATCATTTAAATTCGAGTCTCTTTTCTGTAATTTAGATAAATTTAGCGTAGAACTCACCACTATTCGTTCCACTTTTTTTCGCAAAAGCCTATAATTCTCTCGCTTTCTAGCACACAATCTTGTCAGCTCTCTCTTCAATGATGAGTTGTATCAGAATTTTCTTAGCGTCAACCGTCCAGAGGATGACAAGTGGATGCAAGAAAAGAAAGACACCGAAACTTTCTTCCAGGTTTGATGTGCGGCCTGCAGCTGCAACCTCATCTTTTGCAGGCATGGAAGTCTCCAGCCAATTCAGGCAAGTGTTTGAGGTCATGGATGCAAATGGGGACGGGAAAATCTCCCCTCTCGAGCTCAGCGCCGTGCTTTCGTGCCTCGGAAAGAAGAAGTCGATCGCCGCAGAGGAAGCTGAAGGGATTGTGAGGGAAATGGATCGTAACGGAGATGGATGCATAGACTTGGATGAATTCATGAACGCAGTGAATGTTGACAGATCAAGAAGTAATGATAGTAATAGTGTTGGGTTTGGAAATGAGGAAGAAGACTGTGAACTCATGGATGCTTTTCGTATTTTCGACACGGATAAGAACGGGAAGATTTCAGCCAAGGAGTTGCAGAGGGTTCTGTTCAGCCTTGGATGCAAAGAATGCAGCCTTAGAGAGTGTAGGCAAATGATTAAAGGGGTCGATAGGAATGGAGATGGAGCTGTGGATTTTGAAGAATTTAGGTTGATGATGACAAGAAACTATGTGTGCTGATTGAAGGTGTCTACTTTAAGTTAGGCTGCAGCTAAATCTTGTATAAATTAAATGGAAAGAAGCTTAGTTGGATTAACAAGATTTAAGAATGCATACATTTTGTATAAATTGTTGAGTCTTTTTCCAAACAAAAAGGGTTTATCACTTGATTTGTGTTAGAGATATGATCTTAGGAGCATAGTGGTGGATTGCTGGTGGGTATATGGTCTTCATTTTTAATCTAAATCTACTACGTTTTTAGACTTAAACTCTTCTTTTTTTTATTTAATTTAAGTAATTTAACCCATATCCCTTGTAATATAAAATAAATGATTTTAGAGAGGTTATAAGGAGACAGAATATAGTCATTTAGTATTACGATTTAGTGATGTTCTTCTTCATTTGTAAATAAGAGGTCTTAGGTTTGATTCTCGTCAAAAACAAATTTAAACCATATTATTGATAACTCATTATGATATTCAGTTTGGCTCCAATCCGTGTAAATACTATCTTTTGTTAAAGTAAATAAAAAATACAGAATATAGTCCCCCACCACAACAATGCCGTCTCACTTTCTCACTCTTTGACTGCAGTTCTTGTTTCTTGGTTTCTTCTCTCTCTGGGACACTCTCTCTCTCTGATGTTTGGAAAGTATCATCCATAATATGGGCCCTCCATCTTTTGTCCAAATATGAGAATTATTCGCTAGTGCTTGTCAATCGGCTCCGGTTGATTCTTATCTTGTGTGATGCCGATGTGATGTGTCCTGCCAATAAAAAACAAACAAAACAGTGGTAGCTTTCTTCAGTTGATAAGAACTCAACGAATAGGATTTCCTTCCCTTTTGTTTTTTTGTCCTTTTTTTTTTGGTATTTAAACGGCCCCAAATCACGTCATTTTATGTTATTTTTTTTTAAAGTAAATTACACATAACTACTTCAATTATTTGATCATTAACAATTTCATACATCATTTTTAAAAAGTTTCAATGTCATACCTTATTTTCGAATTTGTTGCAATATCATACCTCCCGTTAGTTGTCTGTTAATTTTTCATTAAAATGCTGACTGACATGGCTAGAAACGGAATCCATTTTCTATTAAAAGACTAATTAAATATTAAAAAATTATATTAAAAAAAAATAAACCAAAAATCCCAAACCCATATCCCCTTCCCCATGAAACCCCCCATTCCCTTCCCCCCAAACCATCTTCCCCCCCCACCCCTCTTCTCCCTCCCAACCACCTCCCTCCCCCACCCCCCACCCCCCCGGCCGCAACACCCCAAAAACCTTCCTTCCAAGCCCAAAAGCCATTCCCCACCACCCAACCCCCCCCCCCACCCCTCTTCTCCCTCCCAACCACCTCCCTCTCCCCCCCCCCCCCCCCGCCGCAACACCCCAAAAACCTTCCTTCCAAGCCCAAAGGCCATTCCCCACCACCCAACCCCCCCCCCCACCCCTCTTCTCCCTCCCAACCACCTCCCTCTCCTCCACTCTTTTACCTCCCCTCCCATTCAAAACTTAAAAAAATAAAAAACAAATCAACCAGTTGTGGTGGTTCGACTTCAATGGGAAGGGTTGGATGGGGTGCAACAATCTGGACAATGTGGGTTTAGATTTTTTTTTGTTTTTTTGTTTTTTTTTTGAATGGGAGGGGAGGTGAAGAGAGTGGAGGAGAGGAGAGGGAGGTGGTTGGGAGGCTCGGAAGGGAGAAGATGGGTGGGAGGGGGGGGGTGGTGGGGGAGGAGTTCTGGGCTTGAAAGGAATGTTTTGCGGGGCGGGGAACCAACGCGGAAGGGGAAGATAGTTTAGGGGGGAAAGGTCCCATCTCAAGCCATGTCAGCATTTTAACAGAAGAATTAACAGACAACTGGCGGAAAGTATGACATTGCAACAAATTCAAAAATAAGGTATGACATTAAAACTTTTTAAAGACAAAGTATGAAACTGTTAATAACCCAGTAGTTAAGGTAGTTTTATGTAATTCACCATTTTTTTTATAAAGAAAGACAAAGCAAAAAGTGTGAGAGAAAGGAAAAGTAAATTCTGATTTTGTGATTTTTTTTTTCTTGTATCCTTGATTTTGTCTATGTTGACCGTTGTAGGACATTTGTCAAACTGACATTACAAAACATACATAAAGGTAAAACAAAAATATAAACTCGACGAATTATAACATAACACATGCATTACTAAATTTGACAAACGAGTCATATTTAATGCGGTTGTGTCATTGTCGTGTCAAACTCGTAATTTTAATAGATCATACCATGATACTTGAATTATTTTAATGAATTTCAGAATTCAAACTTAAACACAACCCATTAAAATCAACGAGTTAGGCGATCCAATGCATTTGAACCCATTAAAAACAATATATACTTTAGTTCATAATCAAATAAAAGAATTCAAACGAAATCACAAAATATTAGCATGAGTTCGTAAGTTCCTTTTTGTCACCTAAACTTACATGCTGTCGCCTTAGGTTTTGCCCGACAAACCATTGTCTCACAAAGCTCGTTGCATAAGGTTTTGTCTGACGAAAATTAGAAGGCTTCGGGCAATAGCAATTTGCTCGACAATAATTTCGACAACAAGACCTTCATGAAAAATCCGCACATGAAAATTTTGGCCAAAACAATGGTGGGAAAGAACTCTTGCTGATGAAAAACATATGATTCATCAGGCAAACCTTTAAAATGGAGGGAAATTTGACTCTTTTGGTAAAAACTTCAGGGAAAGTTTTGGGCTTGCCCGATGAAAAAAGTGATATTACCCGACTGATTGGGGTACTTTTGCCCGACGAAATAGTATGTGAAAAATACATATGTAAAAAATACATAAGGAACATAGTATGTGAAATATATGTGCATGTATGATTCAACAACTTTGCTAAAAAAAATGCCAAACTTAAAAATTTGCCCCTTTTTTTTATTCATACTACTTATTTATAGAACTCTCTCTTTTCAACCAAAATCTTAAAAAAATACTAGTATACCATTCAATGTATAACTGAAAAAAAAAAAAAAAAAATCATTGGCATTAAGTAATTCTTGCAAAAAAATTTGTTTTTTTTACCACCCACATATCATCAAAACATATCTCTAATTAAATACTAGCATTTGCCTACACACTTTGTGTGTATGAACACATTTTTTTAGAAAATGAGAAGAAGAGAGGAAGAGAGAGAGTGTGTGTGTGTAATACCTTGAAAATTTAAATATATGAATTTTATATTCATAATTGTGAATATGTGAAGAAAATCGAAATTAAATCGATGTACGGTCCCAAAGATAGAATTGGGAAAATTATAAAGTTTTGTTACAGGAATTATTATAATGTACGTATTCGTGGTATTGAGAGTTTATATTATTTTTCGGGAATTTATATTAATTTATTTGAGTTCAGTTTTAAATTAAACTACTTACGAGGTTTAAAGTTTGAAAATTAACTATTTTAAATCCGTGGACCTTTTTAGGTCACAATTTATATTTTGAATAGGGCTTGAACTCACGAACGCGTAGGCGCAAACCGTTCGTGAAACGGAGTTATAACGAAAGAGTTATTAACGTATAAAATCAGGGCTATTTTGGTAATTTTATTTCCATTTAGAAGGCTTTAGAAATCTGGAGCCATGAATTGTGCCACATGTGTGGCTGTGATTAAAGAGAGAAAAATAAATGACGGATGGTTGTGATTAAAAGAAAAGAATAGAAAGGAGGGTGACCAATGGGGAGAGAGAACGGCGAGGAGAAAGGAGAGAAAAAGAAACAGAGGATAGGGACCCGGGTCTTGGTGACCTGACCTGATCGGCGCCGTACATATTTCCGACGGGTTTTCACCCTTTTTTCTAGTGAATTACATCAAACATCCACTTGGAAACCCCTCCACGACCTTCCCTGTTCCTATTACATCCCAAAAATATAGGGATTTGGACTTTAAATCGAGAGAAACCGCACGGTGGGGTGCGGCGGGTGTGTGTTCGAATCAACTAAATCTTAAGCAAGATACATCGATCTCCACCACCATTAGACTCCCCTTGAGGTCTGGAACAAATCCCAAACAATGGTAGGGGCAGCGGAGCACCGGAGGTGACGTTTTGGGGCCACCCATTTATAAGGTTTCCAGCGGGTTTAAGGCAAATTGGAGCCTTTCCAGGCCAAATTGGACTTGGCTGCAGGTATAAAATTTGCTCTATTCTTTGAGATCTTCATTCCTGTAATTTTTGAGAATTTTTAGAAATAGTTGAATTTTGCGGTGAGCCGGAGCTGCCGACCGCCACCCGCAGCGATGGGTGCGGCCGTGCACGGCCAAAGAGCCGAAATTGTGTTTTTATGTGAATTTCGTTAATTATGCTTTGGGACTTAACTGCTGTGATTTGAATATTAATACGATTGTGGTATATGTTGATTTAAATGAATATATTTGAATTTGGTTTGAATTTTTGGAAATGTGAACTACGAATGGCTTGATCCCTATTCAGGGTACGTAGGCAGTCTAACGAGACGTTAGATGCAGCCAGACAATAAGTGAGATTAAATAAACGAGACAAAGCTTTGATTGAGAAATTGAACTAAGCAAGGAGTTTGGAATTTTATCATAAAAGGAAATCTTATGTTTTGTATATATAAATTCTAGTTATAAATTGTGTGAACGTTTAATAAATTAAGCAGGAAATTCTGTAATTATGGTAATTGGACAATTGAGATTGATCTTTTGTTAGGAATTAGAGTGAATATGAAGGTATTGGTGCTAAAGTAAAAATATAAATGTATGTTTTGCTAAGTAGGTTTGGTGGATCCTTATGTGAGTAGTTAGGATTTTTTAAAAAATAAAATAAAGTGTACCGGTAATAAATCAAATATGAGAATTGAATTGGGCTTATCATTGGAACTATTTCCCGAAAATAAATATTTCGGAGTCAAGACGTTACAGAGAGAGAAAACATGGAGATAGTGGGAGGTTTTTGTTTTGGTTTTTATTTTTTATTTTAAATATTAGAGATATTTTAACATCACCTGTAGGTGAGTCTTCAATAAAAAACAGTAAAATTTGGACCTCTGAAATTACATTATTGCCCATCATTTTTTTTTGTGTGATACAAGACTAAGTTGTCTTTTCACCGTCCTTTGATTGACAAAAATAGTTTCATTAATTAGTAGAGATAATAATTCAAAATAAAAACCTCCCCACGTTCCCTTTCTCTCTCCGTTTCCAACCCTCTTTCATATATTTTTTTTCTTTTTAAATCTTTTGTATGTA